CAGAGTGTGCTGTGGTTGACTTGTATATTCCTTTGATGGCAGCAAGTTAATTCCAAGACGCATCAACAAATCATTTTCCTTAGCTTGTTCTCAACCAATTGAAGCTACTTTCAATGAATCCTCAATTCATATGCATGATCCTAGATTCCTCCGCTTCAAGGAGGATCCTCCACCCAGGTCAAACAAAGAATTGGAGATATCTGAAAAAACAGGGCGAATCATTTGCGTTCACCAAAGCTAGATTTTAATACAGAGAATCACCTTCTTCTTATAAAACTTGAATTTATGAAGTCACCCTCGTAAGATAACAGGCATCCCACCATTTTTTGCGTTTCATATTGGAGGGAATTCTTGTGACTGCTATTTGACGTAAACATCAAAGCTCTGAAACTTCGAGCAAAAGAATTCCAAAACTCACATGAAACCCCCCCCCTTTAGCCACACTTCTCATTATTCTTTTACCTATAATCTTACAAACCAATATGTGCAACTTCCCCCACTTCAAAAATCTACATGGAAGCCACTTCTAGTAAGGAAAGTGCCATCTAATTTCCATTCACCCTCGCCCAACTCAGATCCAATTGCACTCTATAGCTCAGCGGCATTGAACCAGACATTTTAGCTTTAGTTTTCACTTTTTTCTCCCACCTCTCGTCGAAAAATAGCATGAATCTGAATTGACGCAGGAGTTTGCTTAGAAGTGTCTATATATTACAAGGTCGGAGGGAACAGAGCATAATTACACTGCCTTGTGTTCATTAGTAAAAAACCTAATACAACAGAAACTGAGATCCCTAACCTTATTTTCCTACTGGTCTCAAAACAAGTCAAGAGACGAAAGCTGCTCCAAACAGCCTTCTTTTTTTTTTTTTTTGCGTGAGGTTTTTCAAAATATGTACATACAACTTCATGACAAAGGCAGGAAAGGATCAGACTTGTGCAGGATCAACTCCAACAGACTTCAGAGTTTCAATTTTACGAGGAAAGCATAAGCATCGCTGCGGATAGGATCAGGGATGACATGCTTCTCGGGGTTGTTCTTATCCTGGAATATGCAATTCTCCTGAAGAAAGATCCTTTGAAGAACTTCCTCGGATCCTCCGCCACGTGCTCCCGCTCCACCACCTCCGGCAGGGTCTCCCTCCTCTGCTTCTTCACGCTCACCGTCGGCGAAGTCCTCAGCTAGCTCACGCGTGACCACCCAAGCCCTGATCCAGCATCCAAGCCCTGTCATACGCTACCCGATCGCTACGTACACGGCACAAAGTCCCCCTTCGCCGGCCATCCGTTCCCGTTTCTGGTGGTGATGAGCGTAGTGCCATAATCAGCCGCCGGAGATCATGCTTTGCGTCTCGTCTTTCGGTGTTGTTGACGTCGTCAACCTTCGATTTCCCTGTTCAGCAGTGCTTTTCCCAACCCGATCTGCGCCAAAAGAAACAAAATATGGATTAAAAAAATGACATATTAAAGGAGAAAAGAGTCAGGAAGTTAAGATGATGAATATACTGTCGACGAGGAAGCCATGATTGCTAATACAGATCAAAAAGGGCAGACAATAATGGAACTTGATTGCGTAGAAAAGGTCAGAAGTCAGAATCAGAGAACCCGAGAAGTAATCAGTAGCTTGTTGCAGTGATCAGTAAAGATTCTAAGAAGTAAGTAAGGGTATATAAACGAAGGAGAAGCATCTGATGCGAAGACAGTTTCAGAGGAAACTGAGAGAGAGAAAGTTTGGAGGCACGTAGCAGTAAGGAGAAAGCTGAGGGACACTTGTCCTAAAGTTTATTCGCCCACGACAATCCCCGAAGCCTCCGAAGTGCCGCGTATTCTTTTTTTCCGCTCCTCCGAAGCATTTTGTGGACGTTGGCGAGGATTTGTTTATTTATATTTGTGTGAGAGAGAGCAAAATTTCAGACAAAAATATTATTCCCACTACATTATGATAAAAGACGATAAAAGAGAAATACTAATTATAAGACTAATTTACTAATTTGAGAAGATTAAAAAGTTAAGTTAGTTCTTTATAATAAATATTATTGTCTTTCTTAAAATGTCCTTACTAATTAAATGTATTGACTGTAACTATCATTGTTAGGAGGACTACCTTGAAAAAAATGCATAAATATGAGAGACAAAATATATTAGGATCTTATATTTATGATCAAAATAAAAGTCAAATAAGATTTTATATTAAAAATTAGAGGTAGTATAAATTTAACTTAAATTAATTATTTACTTTTTGTTGTACTTGTATGTTTTCATAAACTTTAGATGCTATCTTAATTTTTGGGTGGAACTATGAAAATTACTAGGAAATCTTTAAAAAAATATTATCAAAAAGTTTAATAACAAATATTAGTCTGAACCTGTGGATTGTTATTAGTTTTTATTCTGAAATTTATCATTACTTATGTTTTATTTGTCAATGATTTTAAGAAAATTAAATCCTCTGATTGTAATTCTCCCAAATTTTTAATGCCTGTTATTCTGGGATGCTTCTTTTTAGTTATTTGAGTAAATTGTGTACATATATGCAAAAAATTGTAAATGATTCATATCATACATTTATTTTCTTAAAAGATTAAAAAAAGAACGAAAATTGAGAAATCATATCTGGTCACGCAGAGATGGAGAGGCTTATTGTCACAAGTCCCGGGGCGACTGGACCAAACCCCAACCGCGGCGGCTGATTGGAGGAACGAACTAACTTGATGATGATAAGTTATATAGAGATTCATAAGCTGTACTATCTATAAGCGATTAATAACATGATTTTTTTTTATATATACGTATTATTAAAGTGTATAACAAATTAAGAATATTATTTTCCAAGCTTCATAAAATGCAAGAAGCCTACGATTCAATTGTGAAGAATACACCAATTATTTCCAAATTCCAACCAAGGAGGAAACCTTATTCTGCTTGCGGGGCATTCCCAGTTAGTAACCTTAAGTGACATGAGGTTCATTTAAGCTGACAAATTAATGACCTGTTTAGAATAACTTATAAGTAGCTTTTCAATTATAATTTACGGAATACGAAGTAAATATGTAAGAAAAAGTTATCTCGACTTATATAAAATTTGTTTATAATTATTTCAATTGTGATAGCAAACAAGACCTAAAACACGCATTTCATTAGGCATTCATAGAACAGCTACCCACAACTTGGAAGTACCAACCATGTTTTTGTGAGATACTGCTTTCTGAAACCTGTATAGCTTGTTTCTTCCCGAATTATGATCAGAACTAATGTAATGGAGCAGCAAGACTTCAAGGGAAAGGTTGATGAGTAGTATTAAAGATGAAGAAATGATCAAGAGATGGAGATTGATTATTATTGATACCCAAAAAAAAAAAAAGGAAATTGAGGGATTGGGAGAGATTCTCTGTCTTGTACATACACACAACTCACAAACAGACCCATATACATAGCACAAGTTTGAACCTGTAACACAAAACATGGTATTTTTGCCCTATCTACAGCAACCAAAAAGATACACAATGACTCCTCTTTGCCCAAAAGTGCACATATGTCCTGGTTATATTACTTACATCCACTTGTGCAGATTTCTTAAGTTCAATGGCTTATGGTAAAGGATCGGGCCTTTGTCTCCTCCCAGGATCCTGAACGAGCATCCCCAGTCACATTGTCTTTACCCTCTATCTCTGACATGAACGCAGGCATGTGGGCATATCCTGCAGAAATGAGAATCACATGAATATCAGAATTCACCTCTTATTCTGGCTCCGGCCAGACTGATCACAAAACTTCCAAGATTATATGCATTCACATTTCTTCCCTAAGTCATGATATGCATACACACATACTCTTAATTTCGTCATGCAGTTTAAAATTACTGTACAGTTGATACAGTTAAACCAAGATGGCTGGAGTTTTGAGTGACAACCATAGTCAGAAGGTTCAGCTTTCACTGAACTGAAATTGCTGCCTTGATCTCCAATAATTGACCGGATTTTATCATGTGACTGCACATATCTGAAGTCATGTCCAGGAGCTCTTTTTGAAACATTCTCTCCATTTCCACTGTAACTGTAGATAGAAAGATTAATTAATCCAAGGCATATGTAAATGACATTAGTGTCCAATCCGAATATCTAGGCGCATGCAGTGAGAAGAAACACATACCATTGCACATAGGAGCAGCATCCAGGGACACATGCAACCCAGCGATCATCTCTTTGGTATCCTCACAATTGCCAGCGTGCAAAGGATATTCATCTTTCGATATCAATAATTGCTTGGTCTCTGATAAAGAGACCAAAAAGGAAGGGGAAAAAATCAATATACAGAATGTAAGATATGTGATGAATATATCCCAAGAAAACTTTAAAACTTGCAATTTGTATAAAGCAAGCTTTGCTATTCAAGGTACGGTTGAATTTTGTCCTGAAAGTTTTCACGTAAAAGTTGTATCCGAAATTTTTTTAAAAAAAAAATCAATAACACCTGGTAGTATTTATTAAAAAAAAAAAAAGAGCAATATTGCCCCTAACCATTACAGGAATTAACTGTTAATGTTAATTTTTTAATGATTAGGCAAATTTGCTCTTTTTTTAACACTTTCTTTTAATTTAAAAAAAAAACTTTTGGATATTCACACCTCGTACTTAAAACTCCCGAGGCAAAATTATATCTTAACCCTTATTGATATCTTAATACCACAGTTTGTGGAAGACAAAATGAAGCTACTCCAGTGACTGTGTTACCTGAGTTCTCAGCAAATTGGCACTTTTGGTCTTCCCAGTTGGGCATGATGAGATTGTTTACTCTGGTTTCTTCATGTTGCACGGTACATGGGATCAAAAGATGCTCAGGAATCTTGGCTCCACAAGGATGTAATGTACTCCTGTCTAACTCTTCAAGAAATGACTTCTTTTTGTTACTTCAACTTCAAACGGATCTTGATTTGCTCCATTATTAACCATCATCTCTTCAAGCAAAGGATCTTGGTATAGATGTTTGTAACAACTATTTCATTGCTGCCTGTATTTTGCCGGTCCTGTGAGCACCTGAATTGTTCAATATTTCATACCTGACATCAAACATAGGACTCCTGTTCTCTCTTCTTTCTTTTCTCTAATGTCTTGGTCTTTCAAGTAACAAGGATCTTCAAAGGTTTTGTCTTGGTACAAAGATTGGATCCTCTTTTCTGAGGTTTTCTCTTCGTTAATTTCTGCACTGTTTGCTCCAACAACCTCGTCCTGGCTTTGCACTTTTTTCGGCATCTGACTCCGAGGATAATAAAACCTTGTCTGTTTAACAATTCCTCGCTAGCATCAAGGTCAATTCTGATCTTTTTTCTCTTCTTCTGCTTCCCTCCGCCCGGGAAAATCAACCTTTTCACACCCAGATTTATCAAAAATCTCAACAACAAAGTGTGATCTTCCCATGTAATGGAACACCAAAAAGTGTCCAACTTCAAGCCCATGATCCAACGAAAAAGCATTCCATCCCTCGTGAAAAGCATAAGAATTATCCACAACTGATATTTGTACCGTCCATCGTTGTCCACTCGAATCCTCAACAATGGCTTCTTCGTCAACCAGGGTTGACGCTGTGCGACCAAATTTAGGAGGCAGATACTGCGAGCATGTTCAAAGAACAAATACACATGATATCCTCAAAAATCAGAAAAGCAGAAGAAAATTAAATCGATGGGGCAGAATGTGGACGATTAGAATTCCTTCCACTACCAGGTAATTTTAATCAATGTTCCTAACTTCACAGTAAGAACTACTTTACTTGGACATGTTACAGAAGCAGAAGAGGCATATCAAATCAAATATACAACATGATGGTTCTTTACAACATGAGTTTAAACAAAGTTTAAATTATAAACTACAGATCAAAGCAATGATTGTGTGCGCAATTGTGATAACATCAAGAGGACAAAGCAACAAACCCAAAAGTTAAGGTAGATATTTTGGTTACTATAGCTTAAAGATGAGCCTGAACCTAAATCATAACGTCTGGCATTGAAGGAATAATGTTTAACAAAACGAGAGGAAGTATATCAAGAGAGAATGTTGGTGGAAGAAGTAATGGTACCAAAACTTGAGAAAAATCGGGGCCAATCATGACCTTGAAGAAGGAAGAAGGTACATTTGACGATTTTTTTCTCTTTCTCTGAATCGGAAGGCACTTCTGGGCACAGGCCTCACACAATTTTCTCATCTACGCTTGCTTGTGCTCCAGGCAAATGTCAGCAACTCGCTTGTGTGCCAAAAAGAAAACCAAAAAAAAAAAAAGAAATGAGGGGAGAAATTAAAACAGGAGAAAAACATAGGCATCCGCATTGCTTTTTTGTCAACCACAAAACCTTAGTTTTGAGTTTAATGATCAGCAAGTTCTGGCTGGAGAGCGTGAACATAAGTAGTTTTCCTTCTAGACTCCGGCCGATGACCGGAAGACGAAGTCCGGAAGACAAAAGAACCTTGAAGGTTAGTTTTCTTCGATGGCCATTGATAGAAATACAACACACGCTGGGATTAATCACAGTGCCTTGAGAGAGATAGGACTGTGATGGGTGTCTATTGGCCGTGGAAACTGAAGGGACTGGATCTCTTTTGTGTTGATATTGAACAAAAGCTTGTATGGCATGCCTGCCAGCGTTAAATCACATCAGAATCTCTGTCGGCCAAGGTGCCAATAAGATACTAGATTGACTGTCTTTGTAGGTTATGCTTTTCATAAGGTACGGCACTGGAATCCGGATTCATCGTCATCATGATCCTCACATTTTCCAACACTAGCAGTTCAATTTTTAACATAACAAATAGATACATTTCAGAAGAAAAAAGAATACACTATGTAAATTAAAAAAACTAAATAAATTATTTTAAAATACTTTTTTTAAAAATTAATTTATTTAATTTATTAATATATAATTTAATAATATACATAAGCATTTTAGAATTGAAAGATATTATCTACCATATACTAATTAAGTACTTTGTTTAATTTTTTTTCATTTAGTCTCGTTAAGTTTTATATTAAAGACAGAAAATGTACTATGTACGTATACCACTTTTTTGTTTGGGGCCAGCATCAGCATATTCTTTTTTGGACCAGCATTTGCATATACTCTAAATTTGAACTATCTACGACATATGAAAAAAATTACTTTGGGCTGACTATTGTTGTTGACATATTAAGATAGCCCTTTCCAAAAGCCTACATGACGTCTTTTTAGAGTTAAAAAAAAAAAGCTAAGTTACTTTTATGAAAAATATACTTTTATTTTTAAAAAAAAGGGTTTTAAATAACCGAACGCATAAATGGCCCAAATGCCCTTCCAACAACGACTAGTTGGCAAAAACACACACCGCCAAGCGAAGAATTTTCACACTCGGCATAGGTATAAATGAGATTTTGTAAAAGAAAATCAATAAATCACACTATTTTACGATGACCAATGTGATAAAAGCCCGCATCTTAATATAGCAGCGTTAATGCAAGTGTCACAGGAAAGGCATAGTGAAATTTTTATTTTTAGTTTTTTTTGCCTGAATATCTCCATTTCATTTAATCAAGAGAAGAAACAAGTCTCACGTGCAAGCAAAATGAAACAAAGAAAGAAATAAAGCTGTCAAAATGAACTAAAGACATGCAAAACACCAGTAACTATCCTAGATCAATGTTAACCCCATGAGCATCATGATGCAAAATTTTCAAAAGAGGAGCGGGTGGTCTTCAAACCCAATCATCTAGGAATGACCCATCCAGCATAGCCTTAGCAAGCCAATCAGCAGCAGCATTAGCTTCTCTAGGAATCCATTTAACCACATGGTTCCTAAACATTTTTCTTGATTTCAAGATATTATCAAGGATAGCAACACATCTTTAGTCTGGAAGCTCTTGTTGAGTATTAATACAGTTGACAAGAATCTGATTGTCTGACTCAAATTGCACGTCATCAATTTGATTTTCAGTTGAGTACTCCATTGCATCGTTAGAGCAATTCCTTCTGCCATTAGTGCAAAATCAGCAGCAGTAACCATAGCTCTTCCAGCAAGCAACATTCCGTTTGAGTCTCTAACCAAGAAAATAGAGGCAGCCAACTTGTTTTCTAAGCTAAAGACACAATCAGAATTGATCTTCAGGGTATTTCCAACAGGAGGGGTCCACTTCATATCAGGAAAAGGCATAGGTGAAATACCTGTAGTGGTTTAAGGAAATCTTATTAGAAGTGGATTGCGAATAATTAGGCGTCATGACATTTTTGCCATTATGAAGATTTTTATCAACACCATGCATCCGAATATTTGTAACTTTTTGCGGTTGCATCACATAGGGATAGGATTGCTCTGCAATCTGCAGTGCACGTCAGAAACAAAAAGGTTGAAGGACAAGAGACATGCCTCGGATACGCGCAGAAGCAAAAGCTACAGATGAAGCCTGAAATGTGAATTGCCAATCTTTTATTCTGCTATTTGCCCAACAAAGAGGTATCTCTCCTACTACCGCCTCAAGGGTAACACATGCTTTGTTGAAGAAGATGAACATTTTGCATATGAACCATTTCCATGACAATTTCTAATTATGACCAATTTTAATGAGAAGGTCGGCAAAACCCATGATAACGGCTTTGTAAAGATCAAGAAACACAAGCATGCACAATTTTTAACTGAAACTTCGTCTCTAGAATCCCCCATGGTAACAATGAACTTTGCCGCATGTACCTTATTATGACATTATAGAAAAAATTGTCCCCCTCAACCTAACAAACAAAATTTTAAAATATAAAAATAAAAACAGAGGCAAAACAAAACTAAGGTTCACGCACCGCATTTCCCTTCCCCTCGCTAACCCGAAAGCATAATGTTCATATGGCCTATACCTCCACTCATTTTCTCTCAAAGACGGTCTATCTCATAAATTAGCTCCCATCCTTAAATTACATTCATTTTCGACCACCAGCCTTTCTTGGCGGAGGAACACCGTCTTCGTCATCTGACTGGATGTCTCCGTACTGCCATATTCCACGCCTGCCAGTTCGTGCTTCTTGCTGAAACATCTCCAAATTATCAAGGGCAAGCTGTCTTTCTTTTCTGTCCCACCTATTTCTTTTCTCAATCCTAGCAAGTCCTTCCTGGAAGTCCCACAGAAAGAAATCAAAGTTCAGAAGATTGGATTTTGCATGTTTAGGGTATGCGCACACTTTTTTTTTTGGGGGGGGGGGGGGGAGCCCTCTGAAAACCGCCTAGACTAGCTCAGGCGACAGGAGTAAATTGAGATGTGGCCATATCAAAGGTTTAAATCTTTCTTGATCTAATGGCATTTGGGACAAAAAGAAAAAAGAAAAAAAGAAAAGGCTCTAAAAGCTAAAGAATTAGCTACAAGAAAAAAACCTGAAGCATGGAAGCATTAATGCTGATCTCAGCATCTGCAGCGACAAGAGTTACACCAAGAATTGTGCCAGTTCCCTGTCCTTTCACTTTTCCTCCTGAGGTATCTTTTTCCTCAACCTTGGCCATGAACTCTTTCCCGCTGTTTAAAGTCATCTCACTCAGATATTCAGCAGCTTCTTGACCAAAATCATCCTCCAAGTTTGGAACCTTTATGTATGCAAGGCTGCACAATTGAGCAAGACCAGGGGCAGCAGACACAGATGAATCAACAGGCCGTAATTGACTGTAAGTTACTTCTTCTTGATTTCCATAATCAATATAGAATACTTCAAATTTGTCCTTAGGAGATTCAACGGGTCCTCGAGGAGCATTGACAACCTACAATGCTCAATTTTAGATACTCAGGATGAGGAACCAAAGAATTACAAGTTTCAATTGTAAATGCCATGTATTAAACAGGGAAAAATAAGAAAAAGGTATGTGGCATATAGAATTTCACAAGCAAAAGACAGTTTAGTGGGAGGTGATCACAATAAAGGAGATGAAGCAATGCACAAAATATTTGACACCCAGTGGCGTTACCACATAGGCAATTAAATTGCAGAAGGCTATTGCACAAGGTTCTCTCAAGAGAGCTTGTGTTTAAGAGTTCGCCTCATGGTGTAATCTACTACTCTAATTAATCCAGGAATCATTACACTCAGCCAGCAAGTAAAAAGACTGCAGGTTGAAATCAGATTGAATAAGATGAAAGCCACCCTAGTTCTATTAAATGGTATTAAAATAGCATCTTAAGCAAGGGAAAAAAATAAAAGCAGATACAGGACGAAGAAAATTATGTTTTATAGAGGAACTGGAATACAGTGACTCAACCATCAGGAGATATTTACCCCCAAATACAATCCCTATTTAATTGTCGAAATTTTTTCAGCATGAGCTTGCATACATAGCAAAGGTTTTAGGCTACAACTCACCATTGCCCGGTACCAAGAATTGTCTGCCAGAAAATGACAAAGGACTATGTCACCCTTCTTGGGATTGAAAGTACCAATCACAGGAGGTTCATGAAGGTTTAGAGAAGCAAGTTGTTGCTGAATGGATGCTATCTTTTGATCACCAACTGACTGTACATAGAATTTACCACCTCCCAAGATTTCGGTAACCACAACCTGACAGTTCATAGAAATAAGATAAGTAATTCACATTTTCAAACATAAGGATCACTAATGAAAAGTGTATCCAAAGCACCTTGAGCACTTCTTGCTGCTTGTTTTCAACAGCGGCACCATTGGACACTTCCTCCCCCTCAACATAGTTCTCCCAAATCTGCAAAACAATTCATCTTAGAATATTTAAAAGAGGGGGAGAAAACAGTAATAAGACCATAATAGTTCCTTTCTTACTTTCAGCTTTTGCCTCTTGGCAGATTGTTCAGCTTGCTCAAGAAGGTGAAAATCAGGAATTCTGTCACTGCCAAAGGAGGTTTGTAGTCTTGCTAGACCAGCTTCAAGAAGTACAGCTCCCATATTGGTCCTTGACTCCCATAAGGATCCCAAGAAAGTTCCAGTTCTATCAACGGTTTCCACTTCAATCTGCACAGAATGCATATTGTATAAAGAAAGCAAAAATGAAGTAATATTAAATTCACAGAGAACTTGATTACCTCAACATCTCTCTGCATAATCTTTCGTCTCATTAGTGCAATTGCTTCATCAGAATGCGGCTCATCACGACCTGGACATCTGACTCCAGAAAATGAAAAGGCAATGCTGCAAGTTTCTTTAGGAATCAACAGCTTGAAACGATGTCCACTGAGGACATATTCCACAACAGCAGGAATTTTTCTACTTCGGTGCAGGAAAGGT